TGCTGCACTCTCTACTCACATGGATCCCGAGAATTAAAACCATTTGCAAACATTTCGAAACCATATATAAGTATATATCATATATATAAATTTTGCAAAACAAAATTCCAACGATTGAAATCAACTGCCGGCAGTTTGGTTTCCATCAGAGAGAGTGCATCCCCGGCCATTACCTTTGTCCGACAAAGGGGCTGATCCCGTCACTACGATCACCCACTTAGATGAATTCTCAGATTGTCCCAACATACCTAGGTTTTGACCCCCGCTAAGGATCTCACTGATTGGCATATCAAAGACCGCTCAATCCGACACCTAGTGCAGTACCATAATCGGGTCTAGGGGTCAAGTAATCCTAGACAATACTGGAAATCTGGTCCAGTTCAAGGGTTCAAGTAATCCTACGGCTGAGACGAGCCACCCCAACAGTTGGCAGCACAACAGTGTCAGCCTTGACAGGATAAATCTCCCCAGACTTATCCAATGGCTGTGAACATTTAAAACCAACACAAGTCTCATTAAGTGTCTAGTTTTAAGGTCTTACACAGAAGCATACCACACAACATGAATCAAACATGTACTTTTATTTACATTAAATATCAAAAGTACATCAGAAATGATTGAAGCTAAGGGCATACAAAAACTGTCCAACAGGTTTGTCATTTGTTCAAACACCCTAATCACCAGCTTCAGATTGCTCACCCATCTAATCTCCTCTCCATCACAAAACATAATTGTGTCATCTGCAAATTGTAGGTGAGTGATCGGAACTCTATCCCTCCCCACTCTCTATCCACTAATCAGATTTCTAGAGTCTACCCTCGCAATAAGCCTCCCTAACACTTCAGCAATTAGGGTAAAGAGGAAAGGGGAGAGAGGGTCCCCTTGCCTAATACCCCGCCCAAAACCAAAAGACTCTAAAACTTCCAACCGGCTTGAGTATATATATATATATATTTGAGATTTAATATATATATATATGTATATATATATGTAATATAATAAAAATATTATAATTATTAATTATTATAAATAAAAAAAATATTTTTATATATATATTTTTATTTTTATAAAATATTTATTCTCAAAATCGAGCTCGAGCTTATGAATTTTTGACTCGAGCCAAGGTCGAGCTCAAGGTTTTGGATCGAACCGAGCTCGAGCTAGAGCTCGAGCCTTGTAGAATAGTCTTAAGCCGAGCTTGAGCTTGGTACTATTCGGCTTGGCTCGGCTCGAATCCACCCCTAATCATGGGTTTACCATATTTATTTGTAGCTTATTGCAAAAAGTGCTTATTTGAAAAGCATCTCTAATATGTAAATTACATTGTTGTTTACTTTCATTTTGATATATTTGACTTGGTGTTTCAATTGGATCAGACACAGGATTTGGATAGAAGAACAAAAGGGAAAAAAGAAAAGAGAAAAAATATCTAATGTGTGAAGAAAAAAGTAGTTATGAGATTGTAGCAGATGTAGATTTTTTTTTTTTTTATCTGCTGATAGAAATTATTGTACAGATCATCTTCTTGCCTCTGCTGGAATGGATCACATGGTCTGTATATGGAATGTATGGAGCAAAAGTCAGCAGAAAGCACGTATATTCAATTATCACAATGCTGCAGTCAAAGATGTCAGGTGGTTACCACAAGGGTTCTCTCTGCTTTCTTGTGGATATGATTGTTCTTCGAGGCTAGTTGACATTGAGAAGGGAATAGAAACTCAGATTTTTAAGGAAGATCAAGTTGTTGGGGTCATAAAATTCCATCCAGAAAACTCCAATCTCTTCCTTTCTGGAGGTTCAAAGGGCCATCTCAAACTCTGGGATATAAGAGTTGGAAAGGCAATGTGCAACTACAATCGGAATCTTGGCCCAGTCCTGGATGTTGATTTCAGTTATGATGCCAAACATTTCATCTCTTCCAGCGATATCTCAAGAAGCAATGTCAGTGAAAACTCTATTATTGTTTGGGATGTCTCACGTCAAGTACCTCTTTCTAACCAGGTACTAGATCCAACCATTGTTTCTTCCTTTTTATTACTTCTCATTTTTCCTTTTAATGTTTGAGATTTCTATAACATCATTAAAGAGTTCTGCATTTTCTTGCTAGAAAATCAGGGGTGCATTTCATGATTTGCATTTATTTTCCCTGATTTACTTGCTATTCTTGCTCTGAGTGCAATTTCACTTTGTTTTGGTACATGGAAATATTTGCAGTTTCTCTTGTTTACAACAATTGAAATTTATAATTATGGTATGCAATATGCATTGAATTTTAGATGAAGGTTACAATTAGACTATATGATTTCTTTCACAGTGCATTGTCAAATACCAATCTGCACAAGCATATGTGCAACTAGAGATGTGAATATTTGGGATTTACATTTTCTCATTCTTGCATTATATTCTACTTTAGTTGTCTTTCTAAGGATTTTATTCAACGTAGTGTAGGAAAAATATAGCTTAGGAATTAAGCTTAGCTTTCTTGTCAATACCTTCTAACCATCCTATTTGTTCTTGTCTCGTCCAATATTATAGCTCTATAACTCGGCCTTGTCTGTTTTTTGATAAATGAGAGTAGTTTTATTAATTCAAATAACGAAAGTACAGTCAGCCTTGGAGGTTCTAAATATCGATACGCCCGATGCACTGGTAGGGGTGTATCGGTACTGTTTTTTTTATTTTATTTTTAATTTTTTTTTCAAATCCGGTTCAGGGGGGGCAGTTTAAGGTTCCTCCACCCCCTGAACCGGTCAAAACCCCGATACACCCTCTGTAGGGGCGTATCGGGGTGCTCCCGATACGATACGTATCGGCCGATACGTAACGATTTTTTGAACCTTGTACTAAACATACACAAGCCTGAAACACAATTATAAAGTAGCCCAAAACAGATCTCGCCTTGACACCCGTTGCTTGGCCAGAGAATCAGTCATTGCATTTGCTGATCTGCCGACCAACTGAAACCAGACAGTCATATTTCTTGTCAGCCATTTAGCTTTCTTTAACAGATTCCTGTAGCCCCAACAAGCTGTTTCTGGACTTGTCAGCCAGCCCACTACTACCTTGGATTCCCCTTCTATCAAATTGTTTACTCCAAGTTGACTGGCTGTCTGTATACCTTGTACCGCTGCTAGTATCTCTGCCCTTACAGAATCACCGACAGCCACTGGTCTTGAAAATAAAGACAACATGTTGCTGTCTTTGTCTCTCAGAAGCCCTTCTATTCTAGATGGCCCTGGGTTACCTTGGCAGCTACCATCAAAATTCAATTTTACCACTCCATCCGGTGGGGCTTTCCATTCAGCTTGTGATTTGTTCTTTGTGGAGACTGTAGAAGCCACTGCTGCCCAGTTTCTCCTTAAGTCAAAGGAGTAATCTGCCAACAAGTGTGAAGATTTCAGCCACGAGACTGTCCTTGTTATTATGCATTCCTTGATTTCAGCAAGACTTCTTTCCTTTTCTTGAAATATTCTAGCATTTCTCTCCTCCCATAATGTCCACAAGGTAGCGGCCTGATGCATTTCCACATTAGCTTCCCTCTAGAACTTGGCCTTGTTCCAGGACCCCTTGTAGGATGTCATTGACTGCATTTGGTCATTGAGCTTTCACTGTTGAGGTTTCCAGATATTTCCACTCTCTTTTATGTTGGTATAACATAGTGAGAATAATCTGTTGTACCAGGTTTGCTGTTGGTGGTCTCTCCTGGAATGGAGTTTCATTGGTCTCCACCAAGGTTTAAAGTATCGATACACCCAATACGCATGAAAAGGTGTACCAGGTATTTCACTACTTAATAACTTTTTTTTAGTTTTTTTTTTCAAATTTGCATCAGGGGATCAGTTTTAAGCATGCCTACCCCCTGAAAATGGTCAAAGTCTGAAACACCCCTTATTTGGGGTTTCGGGCAGCTCCCGATACAATACGATATGCTCGATATGGGGCGATTGTATTGAAATTTTGACCCATGGTCTCAACCAAGGTTCAAACATCAAAGTATTGAACCTGATAAGAATGCTTCCGGGTGTCAAGTTTTGAACATGGCCATATGTTCTAGTTCCCAGTATTTAATGTTTCACCAGGTCAAAAAACTAATACATATCATACAATACACTACTGATATTTTGAACCTTGGTCTCAACAATGATAGCCACTGCCTGAGATATCAAAGGTCATCGAGTATTCTAGATGCACTTAAGGACTGCACTAGCATGAGATTACATGTTTTCTCTGGTACTGTTAGAAAGGTGAGAACACTACAGCATAGATTCATTCCCTTGTAAAATTTCTCAAGCTATTTAAATCCCTGTGTGCAAGAGATTTGTTATTGAGGATTCACCAAAAAAAAACAGAGATTGGTTATTGAGGTTGATTTTGCCAATGTTAACTAAGAAGATTGATGGGAAATCCTTAGAGGCTGACCCCTGTTTGTTTACTGTTTACACAGATTCCTCCTGTGTAATTTTTAGGGGCTTGTATCTTATCATCCAAGCTGAGCACATAGTTCTGATGGACACCAAGATTTGCAAACTCGTTAGCAGATTCCTTTGAAAGTAATGGGGCCTTAAAAGTCCATTATCCAACGTTGGTCCTAGCTGTTTGGGGTCTTGGGAAGGGTGCCTTGGAATCAGAAATGTATATCATTCTTGGTTACCTTTGTAATGTGTGGTTAACTTCTTGTCCTATCCTTTTTTTCTTCCTTCTTTTCTGTTGGCATTACTTCTACTTGTTTTCTTCAGCACTGAGGAGTTAGATGGTTTCTTGCCATCAGGTACAAGATATCCACTTTGTTGTCCCACATAAAAGATAAATGAAGATTAAAAGAGAATGAGGAGAGATATCTATAATAACTACAAAGGCAATAGACCTGAGTTGTATCAAGGTTTTTTCAAGAAGGAAGCCAAGAGAGCCACGTGGGCATAACTAAAGTGTAACAACCAAGATCCCAAGAATCCAAGATCTAATTCAATGTAAGCCTATATAGGGTATACTGCTATAGACATCAATAACAGAAGTTACCTACTCTCTCTCTCTTTCTCTCTCTCTCTCTCTTCTTCTCCCTCTTACGTCATTAGGAGGCTAGACACCTCGAACTGTCTCTGAGTTAGGTAGTACTTAACAAGTTTGGTATCAGAGCATTGCCAACAACAAGAGCCTCGACCATGGACAAAGTTGTAAATGACCTGAAGGAAATGAAGGAGGCCATAGCAATGGTTGCCACTAGATGCGAGCAGACAAACCAGAACAGGGGAAAGGAAAGTGACGAAGAAAGTTCCAACCACAATAGTAGCAGATATTAGGTGGCCATAACTGGAGACCAGGGAAGCTTGATTGTCTCGTCATATGCTAGAGAAGACCCGATCTCTTGGATCTTCAGATCCGAGTGGTATTTCGAGGTCCAGGAAAAGACGACATCTCAAAGGGTAGCAATTGCTGCCATCTACCTCGAAGGCAAGGCTATTGGCGTGCTGTCGTAGGCACCCAAAAATAAAACCTATACTCGTAAAAGTTATATGCAGTAGTGCGAGTAAGGATCGTTCCCACAGAGAGTATCTAACCTGAATTATGTGCTACGTGAATCAAAGATGGAGGGGGGGTATGTAACGAAAACCAGATTCAAAAGAAAGATAATCAGAATTAAAGAGAACAAAATTTAAATGGGAAGCAAGGCAATTTAGAATGCTGAAATTAACCAAAAGAACGGATCTTGGTCTAGGATAACATCCAMCATMAGAATTTCACTACTGCTCATCGATGCAAAGATAAATCAATTCAGACTTTGAATATTCATCGTAGGAATTATTTTCCTGCATCTTCCTAATATCAGTTAATCGGAAAACAAACGATCCTCTTAACCCTTACTACTGAACAACCCCTAAACAAGCGTTAAAGTTTTAATTCAGCAATAGCATTAAGCATTAGAGATCGATGAAGCTAAACAACACAAGCACAAGCGGTTGCATTTAATTCAGTCGAGTGTTCTCCCTAGGATCTAACGATTGCTGACGCAGCAAATCATTAAATTCTAGTTGCTTCGCAGATTAGAGGGATCAAACAATTACGGATTTGATATCTAATCTAGCAATAGATTGTAACGAATAATAAACTAGTAGGCCTCCTAGTAATCAAATGAAACAATCATAGACATAAACATAGAAGAACATTCGATATTCAAAGCATGAATGAAACAATAAAAATCAAGTTAGATCTCACGGTTTTGGTGGATTCTGATGCTTCTGCTTCCTTCGACCAAGTATGAGAGTTTAGCCACGCATGGTCATGGTGAAAACTCAAGAAAATTTGAGAATAGGGAAGAGAGGGGAAGAGAAGAGAAGAGAGGTTCAACTGCTCCCAATCTGCTTTCTTTTTGATTTTCTTCTTCTTTTCTTTCTCTCTACTTCCCCCTAAAGAAGCCTACAAAATCTCCTAAAATTTCTCTAGGTAATCAATCTACAAGTCTGACTTATCCAGAAAAGACTCAAAAATAGGATAAAACAATGTTCTTGTGTGAGTGGGAAAGTGGTTAATTCGCGGATGAAAGCTTCAAGACTAAGGAATGTCTCCAACACGTCACCAATGCAGTTGTAGAGAATTCGGGCCCGATTTTGACCTCGATGCAGTCCGAATCTATCAAAACTCAAAACAGGAAAGTTGTAGAACTTTTCCTTATCTTTCCAACGCATCTTGAATCATCTCAATTGGAGTCCGGATGAGAGTTATGCTCAATCTACCACATGGCGCCAAAACTGTGTAAAATTACCCGATTAGCCTTGTTTTTCACTTAACGTCTCCCTCCATGCCCTAAACCAAAATATAAGAATAACGAGTGCATTTGGGCATAAAATATATATAAAAGACTAAATATTAAGGGCGAAAAATATGATATTTTTGTTCTCATCAAATCCCCCTACACTTAGACCTTGCCCATCATTGGGCAAGACAGAACTTAAGCAAACTAAGCAAACTATTCTACCAAAGTTTAAACTCAATCTTCCTTCATCGTT